GTCGTGGATGAGAAGAGAAAAAAGAAAGTGAGAAGAAAGGGGGGGGGGGGGGGGGGGGGGGGGGGGGCAAGCAGGGTGCAATAGACACATAATAGACATAAGAATATAACCGATCAACGAACAGAGAGCAAAACGAGAACGAAAGTGGGTTAGGCAAAAGTTCACAAAATTTTGCTCGCCACTGAGACTGTAAGTTTTTAGTCATAAAAAGGTACGTGAAGATTTCACTGAGCACAAAGCAACGAAACCTGTGAATGGACGGGAGCTTAAGGAAAGACGTTTTTGAGGAAGGCACGTTAACCGGAAGTGGTTTTTTGCATTCTTGGGCAGTAAATGTCCTGAAATTTTGGGCAGAACGTCTCTATAAAAATTTTAGTTCTTAAAAGACACCGAGCAATACAATTTTGTGTCAAGCAAGCAATACAATAGTGTCAAGGCATTTTTTAAGGAAAAAGGCCTTGCTTCCGGTTGACGTGCGTCGCTCAAAATTGACCACTCCAGAAAATACCATAACATACCATAATGCTCTTTGTTTGTCACCCCAAAATTTTGCATAAACAATGTTTTCAGTTTTTCTAGGGAGTTAAAATGGCCCCAAGAGAAGCTGAAAACAAAGCTTATGCAAAATGTTGGGGTGACAAACAAAGAGCATTATGGTATGTTATGGTATTAAACTGCAGTGGTCAATTAAAAAACGCTTTTCCTTTAGCCTGCAGACGTCACTTATTTCCTTCGTTGCACAGGAACTTCCTGTCAAGTCTCAAACTCAAGAATTTTAACTTTTTTAGAAAACGCTGGATTTTTGTGCGAACAGAAAGAAAATTTGAAGAAATACCATTGTTAGAAAATTTGTTCATATCGCCAAACCTAAGCCTCAAAATAAATTTCAGTCACTCAGTTGACAGCAAGAACGATTGAACTTATCACGTATCTAAAAATCGAGAATTATCCAGCCGCGTCTGACGCGACGAAAGCAGGTTAGAAAAATGTAAAATTGGCTTATATTTTATTTAAGTTGGAGTCACCTTAAGCTCCCTATTTGAATGTCAAGCACCTATGAACACAAATTGCAAATGATTCCTTTGATTGCTGTTCCAAGGTATGCAATATTCATTCGTTCGTTTTGATCTCCACGATGAATGGTACACGGCGATCGACTTATATTTTCTGGCACGGTAGAAATCACTTTAACGCACGTATATCTAACGGAAAAACTAGCAGTAGTGATAAACCACACGGAGTCCCGTCTTTAATGATCTCGCATAAGCACAAGGAAGTATGTACTCGCATATGTTGTCAGCTTCAAATAATCACGCGAAAATTAAAATGGTCTCGAAAAACGATAACCAGAAAGTTACAACAGACATATATAACCTTTTTTCTTCAAATTCTATACCATGCACAAAACAGAGACCAAGAATGAACGCTGCATAAGGATTTCACGCGTCGTGAAAACAGGACGTTGTTGAAACGCTTCGTATTGAGAACAACTGAATTTCATCAGCACATGAAGTCTACAACGAATTATTAAGTCTGTGAGCATAATAACCAGAGAAAAATTACCCACCTTGTTCAACAGAATCCAAAGAAATCGATTCAATATAACATGAGGTAAACTGCTTGAATTGAGACTGATCGAAAGTGAAAGTGAGATATGATGTACACATGACCGATATTATTGACGTCAGACGCACCGCACCCTATTTGCACAATCACGCTATTGAGACAGTCACGCTATTAATATTTTGTAGTATGGACACAATCAAGTGCAATGACTGAAGTGGAGGGGGAGGGATGGGGTAATATAGTAACTCAATTTAAGCTTTGTGGGGTCGGATAAAGTGTAAGTAAAGTCAAGGGGTGGTTTGTAGCTCCATTTGCGTACCGAAATGAGAGGGGAGTTGCAAAATACTTTGCTGCAGTTATATCATCGGATTTATATTTGCCGACCTTCCTCGCGTGGTCATAATTAGTCTGCGTGGTAGGCGTTCAAAGGGCAAGAGAGGATTCCGGGCGCGTGAGAAGCGCGAAGGGCGTGCGAGGAAGGAGGAAAGAGAACTTTTTTTTCCACCAGATGAATGTAAAAATCCTGATTGGTCAGTAATCCGAACGTGTCAATCCGCAGCCTTAATTCCTTAATCCGATTGGTTGAATATAACATCACGCTATTTGAGTGAGTTAATCGATCTGTCGGTATTGAATCATTGGATACATGGCGAGTGAAGAGGAAAGAGATTCTGAGTTGCTGCTTAGCCTGTGTGCTTGTTAACTGCTATTTGACCAGCATTATCAACGACCAGATTATTGAAGACGAAGTGATCTATAATCCATGGCGATTTTCGGTTTGAGGACTCCCTCTTGCTGGCGATAAATTAAAACCACAGGGTACTTACCTTCATGACGGTTTTCTTGCCAGTAGTATTCATTTCCCGCCTAGGGCGTTCTTTCGTATGCTCCGCTGGATCCAACACGTTCCGAAAGGAATTTAAAGAGTTACCAAAGTGTTTAAATTTTTGTCAGACAAACATTGCCCGCAAGTTGCGAAAAGCCCTGTAAATTCTTAATTCAAGTCACATATCTTAGTTGTCCAGTAGAAATTTATTCAATAAATGCATGCATAACTGTAAAGTAAATACAAGCCACGTGAGTAAGCAGCATTTTATTTTTAGTTTCACTGTTGTCACAAGTAAAGTTAGCAATTTTACTAGTTTTAACGTTAATCAATAGTCAATACACTCCTTCGTTAACGATTCGATGTGCAACAGCTGTACGGAATGGTCCAGATCTAATCTGATTCCCGCTTTTTAGCAGTCGCCAGTCATTGTAAGACCACGTGTTCCAACCAATAGCACCAACCCCGCCACTTTTGGCCGGAAAATTAGCAGACCACCACGGGGCACGCCACATATGTCTGACGTCACTTGTGCGTTCACGTGAGAAAGTTGTGTGACCAATGTAGCTTGTGTCACGCAGTTCGTAACGTGCAAAAGGTTTAATACCATCAGGGCCGGAAAATATCCAGTTGCCATGGCAATCGGTGGCGTCTGCCATTCTTACTCCCTTTGTCAACAAAACCGTAAAAAAGGTGTTTTCAGAATGAAAATCGCTATTTTACATAGTCATCGTTTGCTCGGGCAACATAAAGACATCTTTACAATTGAAATTATGAATGCAACTTTCTGTTTCTACGAACAAAAAATCAGAGACCATTCTACCTCAGCTTAGAGCTGGTTTTTAAAAGAAACAATTATTGTAAATTCAGTGGTTTAAAAAATGTTTTAAAATAAGCAAAAAAATTAAGAAACTTAAATCAGTCAGTTTCTGACCAATTTCTTCTTAAAATTTTCGTGTAATGACCTATAGAGTCAGTTTTAGCAGAATATTTCGACAGACCTTATTTTCACAGAGCTGAGTTTACTTCGGTCAATTTTTAAAGAGCTTATTACAAACTCAGTTGCAGAATACTGATGGAGAAGGTTTTCAGTTACCTATCACCTCCAAAATTCCACTCTAGCAAACATTCTGATATCCTAAAGATAGTCCTTATTAAACAAAGTAAACTAAATGAATGAGTCAAAAATCAGAATAGTGATAAGAGAAATTTAACTATAAAAGCCGAAGAATGAACTCTTACCTTTCTTCGCCTGTTTAAATTTTTTGTTTCTCTTCAGATAATCAGGAGGGATTGGATAAATGTTGAACTGGGAAATATCACTTTTATCTCCCTAGAAACTAACCCGTCAAGCAAACAAACTGCGGTATAGGCAGACAAGCTAGAATCTTGGCACCAAAATAGACAGCACTCTTAAATAATTAACTGCAAATGTATTATTAATCACAAACATTCGCACCATGCTTATTGTGGAATCAGGTAAGAGAAACATTATCTTGAAAGTTTAATTTTCGAAACCAGTTAGCGGTGAAACTTGCTGAAACCCTCTTCTCGTTACAAAATTCCCAAATTTAATGGCATTTTCTCAAAGATTGGAAGTAACAGGGACCTTGGATTCCGAGGGGGGTACTCAACAAAGTTGTACCCTTTTGCCTATCATTTTTAGGAGGAAAAGGTACTCCTTTCCTATACCAAAGATGGTACCATTTTCACATACCTACTTCCCAAGAACAAATCACTTAACAGTGTAAACAGGCAGTCGTCGTGGCATTTAAATCACTTTAAACTGCAAATGAGACTGCAAAATAGTCGGTTTTTTCTCAAAATCAGTAAAGAAATCGGTAAAGCGTGGCGTAAGAGTCTTGCGCGTGTGAGGCAAGAGAAAAAAGCGTCCCTCCCCAGTCTTGCTCTCTGTTTTCAGCTTAGTTCCAGACCTTTTGTCTGACTGCTCGCGCGTACTTGAATACGCAAAAAAAAACGGACTGTTTTGCAGTCTACAACCATATAATGGTGCGTCTGTATTTTAATTAAAGGCCCTTTTCTATGATGAGAGACTTTCACTCCTGAAATCCTTACTTTTGTATCTAATTTGGGTGGAGTCTCCCCCTATAAGCAATAATGGGAGTACCCCCACCCCACCACCCTGGAACTTAGCGCTAAAGATTAGACGCAAGCAAAGACGCGAACGAGCGTTAACAATTTGATTCAAAATTGAGACTGCATTCCGCGTAATAGACGTAATACTTGCCCAAGTATATAACAAATTTTACCATTAATAAAAAGTTCGGTTATTAAAAAAGAATAGTCTAAAATCAGTAA